CCTATTTTCTCTGCTTTTTTTTGTTGTTTTTGCGGCCATTAGCCTTTTTCCGGTTTACTTCTCTCCACATGAGGACCACTTTCACATTTTCTTTGGGTACCCAGTTTTTGAGCAAGTTTGCAACGTTTTATTTCCCACTGATGGACCTCATGTTTTTCTCATCAATTTTATATATTTTTTAAATTCCTTATATGACTTCTATTAGTTTGCACAAACCTCTTGCTCTTTCACTTAACATTTTGTGAGAATTTTCTATACTCCTTTAAAATCTTGGAAAAGTGGATTTATCTCCCAATAAAAATTGAAAAAAGCCCCTGCAAGCTCCCAAAAAAAAAAACTCTTCTTTACTTTTTGAAGCACCATAAAAGCTGGGAAAACTGAACAAAAGTCCGTCAAAAATTTACGACGTAACGTAAGCTTCCCTGTCCTTGCATTACAACTGACTCGTTGGTTTTGAGAAGGATGTTATGGCTTGGGAAAGGTTTTTGTTTTTTTTGTTTTTTAAATTAATAAAATGGTCCTCGGGATCAAAATTTCAATAAATATGCCCTTCAAATCCTAGTTCTGTTTGTAGGATTAATCATAAATTCTGCAACACGTTAACGTGTAATTTTTTGCTCTTAACATATCTTGTAGCTTTTCAGAGATCTTATTGTCTTGAAGATCTTCAGAAAATGTCGAAATTTTAAGCCATCCTTCTTGAAAAAGCTACCAATTGATCTTTGGCGCGCAATAATTGGTGGATTACTTGCAAAATTTCCACTTTTTTCTATCCTTTTTCAACTTTCAAGCGATCCGAAAAGCCAATTGGTTGAAGCACAAAGATCACTCGAAAAAAGATCCCATTCTCATCAGCTTTCACCGGAAAATTACAGCCGAGAAGATTTTTTCTACTTTCACTAGGCTAGCCATAAATAACGTTGGCAAATGAAATGTATCGAAAAAAGATACCAGCTGTTGTTCCAGGAAGACCCATCAAACTGAAAGTAGATGTTCATGGGGCTAATCTCGACTGTTCAGAAAAAAAGCGATTAGTGGCAACTGCGCTCTAAAAAGGTTCTCTGGAGCGCTTTGAGCGGCGATTAATCAAATTGCCCACGGCTCATTACGAGCTTTCAGCCGCCGGCATCTGCCCAATTCCAGGCCCTGCTTATGGTCCAGACGAGCCGCTTGGGTTCTCCTCCGTTCGAGGCAAAAAAAAGATCTTTGGTATTCGGTTAGAAGTGAAATGTATCTTCTGAAGGAGGTGGTTGAGGAGTATTCCACTCTAGTGTTCTTGGGAGAAGCTTTGAGCCATCATTTCTGGAAAACTAGGAAGTTTTGCAGATTGAAACTTTGAGGATATTTTTCTGGTACATCAATGAAAGTTCTGACCGATTTTCAACAAATTCCTCAAAATACCTCTCTTATGAGCTCGAAAAGATTATTCAAGACCGAAATTTTTTTTCGCAGAAGACGAATTTGGAGACGATTAAAGCTAAAAGAAGCTTAATCTCCCAAAGATTGTTTTTCAACTCAACACCTCAAATAATCTCGTCAAGCAGTTCTTGACTTCTTGAATCGTATTATTCGAAAAATTGAAAAACTCCAAGATCACCTAAACAAATAGTAAAAAAATCCTATTTCTATCTACCCACTTTGAGCCTGAACCAACTTTCCGAACCACACAAGAAAACCAATCCTTGACTCGGCTGTTCACACAGCTATCATCGCACTTCAACTGGTGGTTTTTTTTCCTCGCTTCACAAAACAAACTGCAGGGAACATGAGTAGGCGAGAATTACCTCTGTAAATCTATTCGCGGATGTTTGAGCTCTTTGAGCACATTCCGACACGTAGCGAGGTCTACGCGCTACAATGAACAGTCACTTAGTGAGAACGAATTAGATCTTTTTATTAATCAATAAAATCTGAAAAATCAGGTCTCGTTCAAGACTTTGAGTAAGACAAGAGAGTCGAAAAACTTTAAAAACAGTCGATGTTTCAAAATTTAAAACTAAAAATAAATAATTTTTTTTTAAAATTGCACTCATCTCTCAAAAAAATATTCGCAAGTAATATTTTTTCAGTTTTTCGATGAATATTCCAGTTATTCTTTCAAAAATTCTCTCTCTGGTAATTTCAAAATTTCCTGGTATTGGAAGTTTGAAAAAGAGCATGACGAAATTTCCGAGTATCAGTCAAAAAAAATTCCAGAGGGCGAAATTCAAAATTTAAATCTTCTGATAGGTAATCTAGCCTCCCAAAGCTCATAGTCACCTAAATGAGACAAGTAAATCAGAAAAACAAAAACGAAAAAGCAATTTCTCAACCCGTTGAAACTGCCGATTGTCACGCTTTCCAGGTAAACGCTCAATTTGATCTCAAAGGCCATTATTAGGAACGGAGGCTATAATTATCAAGGAAAAGGTTGTTTTGACGGGGCAGATTCTGCCGACAAGGAAGCCCTTGGAAGAGGGTCCGAAACACTCGGCCAGGCAGGTAAACACAGGGGTGAAGCTGAAGAGGTGATTGCTCGAAAACACGGGCCGCCGCACGGCGAGCGTCGTTTTTTTTTCATTTTTCTGTTCCTTCATCTGCGGCTCCAGAGGTGTCTATGTAATAAGCGTGGAATTAGGGGCTTTCGAGGGTTAGAGACAAGGGGGCGGGCCCGCAGCTGCCCTCAGGCTGCTCGACTCTGCGTCTCTGTCCTCTCCGTTCGCTGGAGCAGCTCTTCTTCTTCCACTTCTTCTTCGGTGTGTGTGTATGCCGTGCTTTTCCACAACCCAATGTCCCAAACTGCCGTCCTCCCACATTTCCAGTGGGCGGAGTCTATTTGGCACGTTCAAGGAAAAGCTTTTTCCGTCTCTTTGGGTCTGTTGCTGCAACGCTGCAACGGTACTCCGTTTACTTAGTCTTTTATCTCACTTTTTGTTTTCAAATTTTCGTTTTCTTCTTCTTTGAAAATTGTACGAGTTTGGTCGGAACTATAAAAATTGAGAAATCAAAAAAACTTTGAGAGTCCACATTTATCAAAAAAATATTGGTTCAAAAAAATGTTAAAAAAATTTTTTTATTTTTTTGATTTTCATTTGCCTTTGTTTTTTCGAGCAACGTAGGTTGTTCGAGTGAAGTCAAAAGTTGAGGTTCAAACATATTTTCTTTCTGGAGTACATTTTCATATTCTTTGAACTTCTCTTGTTAAGATAAACTCGGATATAGAAGATTTGAAAAAATAATAATTTTTTTGGTTGAGGATTTATTTTTCAAATTATAGATCTTTGTAATCTTGGCTGACTTTCTGAACAAAATTTGAATTTTGAAACAACAGGTAGAATTTTCAAAGTTTCGAAAAAACATGGTTAAAAAAGGATGGTTCTAATGGTCAGAAAAAAGATCAAAAAAACCTATTTGCTGCAAAAAGATGACATATCTAAATTTTTGGTTTTCTTTCAAATTCTTTCAATTTTAGCATGACATTAGTTTGGTCAAAAAGTCGAAAAACTTGTTTCTGAAATATTTCCATGCACTTTTTCGCTTGGAGGAGCATCCATTTATCATCTTTCAGAAACCAAAAAACCCAAAAAAAAAGCTTTCTTTTTCTCATGTAATTTGAAATCTTTCATTCCGCAGGAACTAATCTAATTTTTCGGCTGCAAAAGGATTACACATCTCAAAGAGATAACATCCCAAAAATAAATAAGAAAGAGAGAAAAACTATGGGAGGAAATCCGAGCCTTCCTTTCTTTCTTTCAAATTGCCTTGAGAAACTTTGAGGAGCGGCTCATTTGAGATGTCCGCAGGCATTTCCTCGGGACGACCTCGTTTTCTCAGCTCGAAAAGTACAGAGTTCTTTCTCAGACCAGCTCGTACAATCTTCATGTTTCTTTGATTAAAGTTTGAAATCAATCTGACCCGTCTAGAATTTCAAAACTTTTTTTTCCTTATAGGGAAAGAAAGAGAGATGGAAAAAGAGAAAAGTAGCCTTTTCCGGTCGGATTGACACTTGTTGACCATCGCTTTGTTGTTGTTAGTCCATTCACCAAGTGCATTTCGCCTTCGCGCCTTTTTTTTTTGAGAGATATTTCAAAAGCAGATAACTCTTTCAAAAGAAAAGATTGCCATGAATATTTTATTGTTTTTTTTTTTCGATTTTTGAATGTCTCAAAAGTACTTGCGTGATGCTATTTTCGCACTTTTTGGAAACCAACTTGTAATTTTTCGAACTTCAGTCTTGAAATAAGTGCAGAGGCTTGATTGAAATTTTTTTTACATTGAAACCTTATTATAATCCCTTGCAAAATTTCAAACGTCAGCGGAAGTCGAAACTCGGGAGTTAATCAAGTGGAAAGCCTACGTTGACATTTTTTCTGAGGTTTTTCAAGTTCAAACTTCTATGAAAAAATATTACAAATTGAAAAATATTTTTTCTCATAACTTTTTGATTCGCTTGAAAAATATTAGAGTGCTTAAACTTAGGGGTATCACTTTTGAAATGTTTCCAAGAAAAAAGAGATTCACCAATTCTGAATATAACAAAAATTCATTGCAATCTAATTCAAAGCCCTATGATCCCACCACCGCTGAGAGAGAATGTACCGACCGCAAAACTTTTTGGCGCGAAAAAACGAATTCAAACTACGAGCCGATTGAGCAGTTGAGCCAAGGTTCTTTATTTTTCTTTTCGTGTTTTTTATTTTATTTAACTTCTACGTAGTATTTTACTCAGATCAACTTTTTCTTGGCCAATTTCTGAAAAGGATATTTCGTAATGGCATTATACTTCATTCTGCGTTAGCTAGAGATTTCAGACAGGTCTTCATTTTTCAATATTTTTCTAATCGCGGTGGCTTTATTTATATCTCGAAATAGCGCCAAATGAAAGGGATAAAAAAAATGAAAAAAAAATTGGTGAATGGACTATAACGCTTCCTCTTCTCTCCAAAAGCTCTTCACTACCGTTTTTTTCTTCCTACTTTTCAAATGATAACGTGGCGGTGGATTGAAGCAAGGGTCCGGCGATGCCGGAGGGCGGCCGATTCCGCGTTCAATCGGTGGTGAAGGGCGAGGAGGCGACACCACCGCCCGAGAATCTCCAGCTCAACCTTCCAGTCGGACCAAATGGTCCAGTCAAAGGTTCGACCTCCACTTTCTCTCCATATCCGGGACGTTCCTTCCCACAAGATGTCGTTCACAAGCTTCTAAGGAAAAGTCAAAAAACTTCGCCGAAATTTGGGGTCATTTGGCGCGCAAATCGAATTCGACATTTACGTCTATGTGCGTTGAGCGCGTTTTCTTGTTGTGTTGTCGTGCGAGGATTTGGAGCAAAAAAATGGAGCAATTTTCTTATTTTCTATAAAAAGAGTTTTTTGAAGAAAAGAAGGGGCTGTGTGGAAGAAAAGCTGGTTCAGGTTATATAAATATGATGCAGTCGAAAAAAATCTTCAAATATTCAACTATCAAAAAAATTTTCATGGTTCACTTCTAACTTTTACTTTTTTTTAATTAAAGTGCAGTCAAAACTACTGCCAACTATGATATAAAAAAACAATTTTTTTGAATAAAATGAGTGTTTTGACAGAAAAATGGGCTCATATTAATCGAAAAAAACTCTAAAAAAATGGTCATACATCGTTATTTTTTTAAAGTTCTATTGGACTTTTTCAAATAGTTGCCTCTAACATTCTTCTGAACTTTGAAAGCTTCTTTCCAGACACTAAAAAAATTCGTATAGATTTTTTTATTGTCAATAATATTTCATTGAAAAAAAGGCTGTCTGTTCGTTCAGTTTCATTGAATCCCTTCCATTCTCTATTCTAAAAATCGTTCTTATAAACTGAAATTCCTTTTTCAAGATTTTTATACTTCACCGAAATTTTTTGCCTTTCTTCTAGCCCTTTGAAAAGTTTAGAACGGAGTTTTTTAAAAGATGAATTAAAAAAAAACTTATTTTAAACATTTCCTTAGGAAATATTTATCGCACCTCTCTCCAAGTCCATTACTAATATCACCTCGTCATCTCAAATCTGGCCCAAAAACTAAAAAATTCTGGAAATCGTACCAAAATGACGTCTATGCGGATAATTACTTCAAAGTGGAATTTACTGGGAAAAAAAAGATTCGAATGAGTTTTAACTTTTCAATTTTCGGGAAAGAGACCATGCGGAAGAATGTTTGTAATGCTAACTTACAACTTGCAAATTTTTAGAAAGTTTCGTCATACTAGCGTCATTTTTCCTCCAGTTTTATCATCCATCTGTTCACTTCTAACCTCCTGTTGTCTTTTAGAAGCTCCCCTTCCCGCCACTGAAAACTACAATAAAATTTTGAGAGCGCAATAAAAAGGCGCGCGATAAGGAAGAGCCATCTCTTTTGGAAGACTTTGGGCTTCAGAGAGCGGAACAGCCCATCCAAAAGTGGGGTACCGTCAACTCTTTGTGAGCTTTCATTAAAAACATGTTGTTGGCTCGGGGAGTCGTTTGGAAATGAAATTGCGCCGTTGCTCTGTCAGATGCACAGGTCCGTGGATGCGGCTTGGAAAACACGTTCCGGTGAATATTTTTCGGCTTTTCATCCCCTCATTTTGATGCCTTTTCCCGTGGTGCCTCTCAAAACAAGCTCGCAATGAGCACGACCTTCAATTTTCCGACATATGCTAATCAAGCCGCCTTTTTTTCTGTATAAAATCGCATTTGGCTCGGCACTCTTTTCTTCTCTTTCAGATCTTCTTAGGAATGCTGATTCACTCGGATCTAGGAGCAAAACATAGAAAAATTTGGTTACTGTAGCAAAAGCAAACGGACTGTCAATTAAAATAAGCGTGATTTTTAGAGCCATGAAATTCTTAAAATTTCGCTATTTAGAGCTTGAAAAAAGTCTTTTTATTTTCAAAATGGTAGGATTGTTCTAAAAAGCATCTGGTTCACTCCAAACTCTGAAGTTTTAAGCAAAAAGTTATGATTTATCTTATCCATCGACCGGATTTGAATTTTAGAAACCTTTTTTTTTTCAAAAGCACTTCCAAAGAATTTCCCGGCAAAGTAGATTTACCCATCTCCTTCAGAGCCATGATTAGTGCACTTCTGGGAGAATCCTCCGTTTCTAAAGTTCCAGAAAGGGCTCATAATTTACACTTGAGAGCTTAAAAATGATCTTTCCGTCTTCAAAAAGAGAAAAAAAGTCAGAAAAAACTCGGTTTTCTTGAACCTTTCTTTCTCGAATGATGTCATGTCTGAAATAAAAATCTTATATAGTGAGCTCATTATAGCCGAAATTCGGTTTTTAATCTTCAGATCCGACCAAAAAAAAAAATGAGGGAAAACGGAGTCTGGTGCATCTGATTCATCAAAGAGTCAGTAGGTTCGATGGCATTTCTATCAATAAATAATGATTTGCTATTCATGCAACTCGACATTCCCCAGCTCTCAGTCTCACAAAGTACGAGAATTTCGATTGGAAACAAGAAGAAGGAAAAAAGAAGTGGAAGCACGCAATTAGTGCAAAAACTCGCATTGTTTTCAATTTGCCTCTTTTAGGGAGCAGAAATTTCTGTTATTTTTAGGTTATTTTCTAACTGCCCGTGAGATTCATTCATGTAATGTGATAGGACTACGAGCTCAGAGCGTGAGAAATGTGAAGCTTGAGGAAAACAAGGAAACTAAGGTTTTTTTTTCAAAACTTTTATGTCCGCCAGAAAAAAATTGTCTGAAGATTTGAAAAGAACAAAAAGCACCTTCGAAAAAAAAGAAGCAATTCAAACACGGCGAATGGCCGGTGATTTGGTTGTTGCGAGGGGCGTCGAGCCACGGAGGACTTCCGCTTCTGGACCTTTTTTTTCACAACTTTTTCAGATTCTCTTCAAACTTGTTTTGCCCTCTTCGAAAATCTCTTGCTGGATTTTTCTGTTTTCAGATTAGACTTGCGTTTTTTTTTAAATTTTCAACTTCACAGTCCGATTTTCGAAAAAGGCGAACAATGGAATGGTCTAGGCTTACAATAGGACTTCCAAATGAAATGAGCATCACTAAAAATAATTTTTTTTTTGTTTTGCGCCATGATTAAGATATTTTCCTGAGATTTAAATGTAAAAATCTCTTTTCTGAGTCGAAATGGGCAAAAATAATTTTTTTTTAAACAGAAAGGTCTGGATTTTTTTTTCAGATCTACCTCCACCTAACTTATTTCGCCCTTCGGCGACGTTTTTGAAAAATCTTTTAGAATCAGCGCCGAAATTTTATTTACTGACCCCAGTTTCATGTAGAACATTCTTTAAAAGCCGAAATCAAATTTAGAGCCTTGAAGACAAAAATTCACGGCAACGAACTTTGAAAAATTCCTTCAAAATGATTTCAGATGCTTAGTTTAAATTCCAGATTATTGTCTTAAAAATCAGTTTTTTTTTTTCTTATCTTTTAATAGTTTCTTATAACTTCATACACTTTAATTTGGCAACTGCATAAAAATCAAAGCTCGATTAATCATTAAAAAATAAATTGAAACTACATTCACCGATTGCCCAAAAATTGGATTGCCTTCGAATCTGTTTATTCTTTTTGAAGGTCCATTGCTCTCAAACGCTGACGTCACCAAATTAGAGTAAATCTCCTCTGCAAAACGTGTCCGAAGCCTTACACGATGTTTGAAATTCAACGGCTCTGCCTGAGATAGTTTTTCATCGGCTGAAGCCTCTGCGTACTCGGCGGACTAGTGCAGTGGTTTCAATTACAAGCGTGTTACAATGCTTTCTCAAACTTCGCTCTTCTTTTTTTATTTTATTTTTTCTAAACAAGAGGACAAGCAATTTTAAAGCTGAGAAGTTCATTTTTTTTAGCTTAAAGGACTATAGTTAGAGGAGAAACGCTTTCTTTGATCTTTAAAGAAGCATAGGCTTAATTGAGAAACGTTTCGAGTCATTTTTCAGGTGACAATTCACTTCTGCCTTCCAAAACTGTCTCAAGCTTTTATGAAGAACCTTCAGTTAGTTCAAAAAGATTCAAAAAGATAACAAGCATGATTAAAAAGGTCTCGAGGCAAAGAGCCATTTTTCTATGCTACTGTGGGTCATTTAAGACTTCTTCGCCTTGAAAAAATTCTTTATTCTTTATCAATGTAATTTTCGATCGGAAATTCACAATTAAAAGTTGGTCGAAACCTCTAGGAGCAAAAAAATGCTAATAGAATAAGAGAAACTGATACAAAGCGGCAATTTTCGAGTTGAAGACCCAGGGTTTTGTGGCAACCTCTCGCGCGTCGTCGTCGTCGTGCTGTTCTTCGTTGAGTCTCTCTTCATTGCCTAGCCTCCTCCTCTCCTCTTACCTTGGCCTATTTCCACCCGCCTGAGGCAAAAGGAGGACGACACTCCCCTCGTAGGCACGACGCATCCTCGAAAAGTGGACAGATGTCTTCTTTCCCTTTGCTTCGGGTGTCCTGGAGGAGGTCGGCCTATCTTGCCTAATTATTCTGAAACTCTTGTCGTCCTGATAATCAGTGACAAGGATTTCCGTGCAATTCGGCTATTCTAATGCTCTGAGATTCCTTGATCTTTCTTCTTCTTCCATTCATTCCGAATGCGTCCGAGCAACACAGGCGGCCGAGCTATCGTCGTCCCGACCAGTCGTTTTTCATTCAGCGGCCACGTTGATTCAGAAAACAAGGGAAAATGCTCGGTCCAGCCGGAAACCTCGGCTCTTAAGTTCACGCCGCTCGAAGGGCCCCCGCCGCCTGGAACCACTGACAACGACGTCGGCGGAGCCTCTTCTGAAGACTTGCCGAAGAAGACGTCGCTGGCCGAGAAACGGCTCGGCGGCAAGGATCCGCCTCTCATGCATATCACCATCCCTTCAGGTTCTTTACAACCCTTTTTCAGTGTCCGTTTTATTGGCGCCACGAATGGGGTATTGAGAGGCTTGTGAAGAAGTGAAGTATAGGAGCCTTGCATGAATAATCAAACCATCTGCACTTTTATGGAACTCTCACTAATTGCCTTCGAAATGTTGATGAAGGCCTAATTCACCATTCTCTTGACAGCAAGATGATAAGAACCAAGGTTCTTAAGCTGATTAGTCTGATTAGAAGTAAAAATTGACAGTTCGCTCGGAAATCCTATTAAACTTGATTAACCATACAACTCTCAGGATTATAAACAAATTTTCTTCCCCTTGAAATGGTATTTTTCCCCCCGAGTGAGTCTAATGAGCTTTCAAAGCAAACTGTTCGGTTCTTATCATTTCGGAGTCATTGAATTCATCAAAATGATCCAATTTTGAATCGAAAAATTTTGTAAAACACTGCTCTTCGACCCTGTTAGTTGTACTGCATGGGTTCCTTGGTTGAGCGAACAACGGAGGACTTTGGAGAGACTTATGAGCTGAAAAAAGAAAAAAGCGAGAGGATGGGTTTGAAGTGCGCCGAGTGTATTTACTGCTTTAAGCACCTATTCGCCGAAAAAGCTTTCTTTTCTTTTCCTTTTTTTCTTCTGCCAAGTCTTCGTCAATTCAGAAGCAGAAGACGTCGAAGAAAAAAAATTAGGAAGAAAATGGATTATCAGAAGATATTTCCCGGGAGGTCAAAACATGTTCAGATCTGCCAAAAACGAACAAAAAAGAAAAAAAGAAAGAGTTTTTGTTGGTGGTAAAGTAATTTGAAAACATGTGTTGTCTGCAAAAGCTCAGACCTTTATCATCCTCAAAAATAGACTAGAGAGCAATGCCAAAAAAGGAGGCTGGAATGTCTGTCATACGTTTTTTAAAAAATTATATATAATAGGTTTTTTTTTGAATTTAAACTAGTTGATTTACATGATAAAAATCTAAATTTCCAATTTTCAGATGAAGGCGGCGAAAGGATACCACTATGTGAGCAACACTCGCCCCTGGCACTTTACGAGGTTTTTTATTCATGTTTTATTCTTTTTTGCGAAAAACTTTTTGGACTATCTTTGAGTTCAAAATCTCATCAAATTCCTCAGAAAATAAAGATAATATCTATCCTGTTTTTGAGCTGCTTGCTCAACCGTGAATGAACTATGAGAGCAATATTTTGCCTCTTTCCCATTTTGCCTCCTTCCAAAATACTCGAAATATATTTCGAAGCACACGAGGCAAAAGGTTCTCAAAACATGACGCAAAGCGAAAAGAGTATCGGTTACATCGTTAGATTGCACTTGTCTACAACGAAAAGACGAAGAGAAATTTGTTTATTATGAATTTGTCCCCTGGGGCGTTTATTGAGAAGATTGATGGTCTGGCGTTCCTTAGATGCCGCCTTCCTATTTGATTGATTTTGAAGAATTTTTTAAATGTTTTAAAAAAAACCTTTGCTCTCGAGAAAATTTTAAATGAATTTTGAAATATTTTTCAGCAAGACTATGACACACAAGGGCAGAAAATTGGACAGATGTTGCGCAAGCTCTCCGTCTACAATGCAACAGAAGCCACCAGCGCAGAAGCTGACGCAAAACCAAAAGTAAGTCTTTTTCTTCAAGCCATTGAAACTTCTTTCAAAAGAAAATCAAAACTTCTTAACAGCCCTGTTGCTTTGAACCTTTTTTCTCCTTTTCAAGCTTGTCGTTGGTTGAAAATGCGACTTTTTATTGGTATCCGAAGCGCAGACGAAGTTGCGAAAGAAGTGGCTGAGACTCCTAACCGAATTTTGTTCTACTCCTTCGAATCCCTCAAAACTCTTCTCACCGGACAAAAATACTTTTTGTTTTCTTTGAGAAGGAACTTTTCTATCAGAAAGAAATGAAAAGCATAGCAAGGTTTTACTTGTGGAAAATATTTTTGCAACAAAACTTTTTTCGACGATTTCACACATCCGTGCGCAAATCAAATATCCTAAGATGACGTAAGCCAGATCAGCATAAATTTTCCTACGCGCAAAAACATGGAAGGTTTCTTCAGGGCAGAGGGAGGGGGAAGAGAGAAGAAAAAGAACTGAAATTACAGGCGGCAGCGGCGAAAATGGGCACGATTATGGGAGTATTTCTACCGTGCTTACAAAACATTTTCGGTGTCCTTTTCTTTATCCGACTCGCCTGGATCATCGGCACGGCCGGTATCCTTCAAGCCTTTTTCGTCGTCCTCACTTGCGTCTCAGTCGTTAGTTTTTAAGAAAAAAACATATTTTCAGTAAAAATGAGTCATTATTCAAAAAAACGCCACAATTCAAATCTTTCATTACGTGTCAACCAAAAAAACCGGAGCTTAAAAAGTCTTTTTCAAACACTAAACTATTAGAATCCCAAAAAAGCTTTATAACTGTCTTTTTTTTTAAAATCTCTAACGGAAAATTTTAATATGTCCTTTTTTCATTTGTCCCGATGATTTTAAATACTAAAAAGTTCATAAATTACATTTCCTAAACAACGAAAATGCTTTTCAGACTTTTCTCACATCAATCTCGTTATCCGCGATCGCCACGAACGGTGTAGTACCATCAGGAGGGCCCTACTACATGATTTCTCGAAACTTGGGCCCAGAATTGGGCGGAGCCATCGGTATTCTCTTCTACTTGGGCACTACTATCGCCGCTTCAATGTACATCACGGGTGCCGTTGAAATTATGTTGGTGGGTTTTTTGGAAGATTTGGAACACTTTAGGATGAAAAAAAAAGAAAGTTTGAAGAGGAGGTAGGAGAACGGCAAGCTCTTGAAACTTGAGATCACAGAAAAACCGAGGTAGACACACAAACAGACAATTAACTATTAATAGCGACATGCGAGACCAGATCGAAAAAGTTCCGTAATGGAAGCTTTTGACACTTCCAGAGAACTTCAAATCTCTCAGTAGCACAGTAAGAAGAGAACAAACACGGGAAGGAGAACTGTAGGGGATGAGTCAATCTTGTTGACTTTTTGACGCTTTTTAGGACGAAATGTGTTGAACCAACAGATAAAAGACGTTTGTGAATGAGATAATAAAAACAATCTCTTCACTTTTCGATTTCATTTGAACTTCGGACTTATCAGTGAAGAAAGGGAAATCAAAAAGGAATGAAAAAGTTTTCGTTCAAAACAACTGTTTGAAGTAAAAAGAGATCTTAGGGCGAAATTATTGTTGAAAAAATCTGATGAGCAATCTTTGGGAACTAGCTTCAAAATTTTGAATTTTTTTTTTAAATACAAAAACCAATGGCTTTACTAATCGAGTTTCAATAGAAAAAAAGGCCAAATTTAGTTTCAGCAGTTTTAATTTCAATTCGTAGCCTAAATCAGGTATGCCAATTGACTGAAAATCAAACTTTTCACTATTTTCAACTTTTCTTCGAAGTTTCCTCTCGTTGAAAAAAATTTAATGCTTCAAAACTATTTAAAAATAAACGTTTCACCTTTTTTTTTCCCAACTCATTATCGAGTTACAGTTGTACCTTTGGCCGGAGGGAAAAATTTTCGACTCGTTGTTCAACAACTACCGTCTTTACGGGTCCGTCTTACTCGTCGCCTTATCTCTCATCGTTTTGGCTGGCGTCAAGGTAATTTTTGGACATTTTAAACGAATCTCAATAATCTTTCCAGGTTGTGAACAAGTTCGCTCTACCGCTAGTCTTCGTCGTAGTTTTCTGCATCTTCTCTGCAATAATTGGAGCTTTCATTCGATGGAATGGGTCTGACAGTTTGCAGTTAGTTGAACATCCCTTATTCCAAAGAAACTGAAAATCTTTGAAGGTTCTGTATGGTAGGAGACCGACCGGCAGACTTGAGTTCCTACTTTGAAAAAACCCAAATAGTCCCCAATTGCACGGCCGACGGGCTCGCTCCCATTTTCTGCAACGCCAATGGAACCTGCGATCCCTACTACAATACAGTTCGTTTTTCCATCCAAATTGGCCCAGTTAATCTCATAAAAACTCAGATGAAGAATATCAAGATTTGGCGGGCCAGTAACAAGCCAGCGATTCGAAACGAGGTAACGATTCCGCCTTTCTGTTGAAAACTTATCAATTTTCAAAATTACAGCCAGTCATCAAGGGAATCGCTTCGGGTGTCTTTTTCGAGAACCTCTGGCCAAAGTACCTGCGAGCCGGGGAAGTTCTTTCGAAAGATCGAAAGGTTGGTCCTTTCAAAACATCAATTTTCACGAAGCTTCTTCAGGACAAGGGCGATATTAACCGCGGAGGCCATCCGAGCTATATCTACGCGGAAAGCGTCACCAACTTCATGATACTAGTAGGAGTGTTCTTCCCTTCAGCGACAGGCTCGAATATAAGACCAAAAGCCCTTGATTATTAAGAAAGTTGCAGGAATCATGGCTGGGTCCAACCGATCTGGAAACTTGCGCGACGCCGCTCAATCTATTCCTAGAGGAACGCTGACCGCACAAATTTTCAGTAGCTGTGTCTGTGAGTGATAGAATTATTAGCGCAAAAAATATTAAAGTTACTACAATCTTTACTCAAAACTGTTTAGACTTGACTGGAGTGGTTCTATTCGGCTCAACGGTGTCGGAGATGTTCATTCGTGACAAGTACGGTCGTTCTGCGATGGGAAAACTGATCATCTCTGAAGTCGCCTATCCATTTCCCTTCGTCATTCTTGTCGGCTGCTTCATGTCGACGATTGGAGCCGGAATGCAGTCGCTCACTGGAGCGCCAAGACTTCTTCAAGCTATCGCTGCTGGTAACTCTTCTTTCGCACAATTCATTGCAAAATTCGTCCTTTAGATGACGTCCTGCCTTTCTTGAAGCCGTTCCGCAAGATGGACAAACGAGGAGAACCGATTCGTGCCATTCTGCTTACTCTTCTCATTTGCTGGTGCGGTATCCTCATCGCCGTCATCGAGAATATTACGGCGCTCATCACCCAGTGAGCTCCCACTTTATTATATTCTTTTGAATTTCAACTTGATAGGTTCTTCTTGATGTGCTATCTTGGTGTGAACACTGCCTGCGCTCTCCAATCGCTTCTTAAATCTCCTGGTTGGCGTCCTGGATTCCGTTACTTCCACTGGTAAGATATTTTGGCCTGAGAATTATTCCAAACAATTTCTTAGGTCTCTCTCCATGGTCGGAGCGATTCTGTGTGTAGTAGTCATGTTCATTTCGGCGTGGCATTTCGCTCTTTTTGCTATTTTCATCGGCGCCGCCGTTTACAAGTACATCGAGTACGCTGGTGCGGAAAAAGAATGGGGAGATGGTATTCGAGGTCTTGGGCTGTCTGCTGCGAGGTCTGTCAAGTTTCACGGAAAAAAAAAATAGGAAAAAATTCTTTAGATTCGCTCTGCTCAATCTCGACGACAAGCCACAACATTCAAGGAACTGGCGACCACAGCTACTCGTCATCACTGGAGACACAGATTCGCAACACACTCAGGGACTTTTGTCGTTCGTCAGTCAGCTCAAAGCCGGCAAGGTATAATTAAACGCACGGTCTACTATAAAACCTGACTTTTTGTAGGGGCTCACCCTGGTCGCTCATTGCATAGAGGGAGAATTCACACGAGATCACGACCAAGCAGCCGTTGATCTCGAAAAGCTGAAGGCTCTTCTCAAGAAGAACAAAATCAAGGGTTTCAGTGATGTTCTTATCGCAGAGAACTTCATTGAGGGCATCAGCTGCCTGGTCCAGGTACTCATATAACTATAAAAGTTGCTTTAAAAAATCTTTTCAGACGTCTGGATTGGGTGGAATGAGACACAACACCGTGGCGCTCGCCTGGCCAGAAAGATGGAACTCCGAGCATCAATGGCACATCGCGCATCGATTCGTTTCTTCCATCCGATCTTCCACCGCTGCCGGGTATCCAAACCGGAGAGTTCATTGACATAAACTAGTTTGTATTCAGATGCGCCATAATGGTCGCGAAATACGCCGACAAGTTCCCAGCAAGTAGCACAAAAGTCTCTGGATTCATCGACGTTTGGTCAGTGAAATCCAAAAGTTTCCGCAACTTCTAGAAATAGCTACTTCTCACCTAGAGCTTCAGTTTGAACTATTTCTCTGAAAAGGAGATAGCCCATAAAAAAAAACTACATCCGAGTAAAAAATTTTCAAAGGCCTTGTTGCAGTTTTTTTATTATACTTCTCATGAAAGCATAAGACGTCTTTAAATTTTTCTGAATTATTCAGATGGTGAGAAGAAGAAGTTGTAGATTTTCACTGAAAGCCACAAAGAGGCGCTTTAAAAAAGCTTTTCTCACATAATTTTGGTAGAACTGCTAAACGACTTGAAACATCTCGAAGGCTCTCAGAGTTTTTCCATAGATCATTCGCACTTTTGTAGGTGGGTTGTACATGATGGTGGTTTGTTGATGCTTCTGCCATTCCTTCTCCGTCAACACAAAACTTGGAAGAACACTACGGTCCGGCTATTCGCCATCGCCCAGATGGAGGTTCTCATGCCGTTACCATGCATTTTTTATCACTACTACTTCAGGACAACAACGTACAAATGAAGGCCGACTTGGAGAAGTTCCTCTACCATCTTCGCATTGAAGCTCAAGTCTTTGTTATTGAGATGGTAAATTCATTGAAAATTCGGAAAATCTGAATCGAATTCAGACCGATTCGGACATTTCTGACTACACCTACGAGAGAACAATGAAAATGGAAGAGAGGAGCAAACTTCTTCGCAACATGAACAAGGCCGACCGCGAGAAAGACATCCAAACTCATCTCGAACAAGCCGTGACACGGGAGAGGAAGCTCAGCAAGATCAACGAGGAAGCGGTGAGTGATTTCCCCCTTCGCAAATGAAAATCTATTCAGTTTGGAAAATCCTGATCTTGAAAACATTACAGAGCGCCCCAGTGACGCAACGTCTTGAGGCGGTCACGGAACACGCCGAAGAGCAGCCAGCCAGTGTGACTTCTCCGACGAAGAGCGACCGTGGAGTCCGCTTTTCAGAGGATGAAAGCAGTGTCGAGGTATGTTCTCAACAGGCATCTGCTTTATATTTTCAGTGTGGAAAAATCGATACCTTTGTGCGGGAAAGATGAAGACTCCTAATCAATACTAATATTTCAGCCGAAAACTGGCAACGGAACTCTCGAAAAGGATTCTGAAGAGAAACGAAGGAAGCGACGATACAATGTTCACAAGATGCACACAGCCGTCAAGCTTGGCGAAATGATGCGAGAAAAGTCGGCGGGAGCCCAACTCGTCATCGTCAATCTTCCTGGTCCTCCGGATCCAGATTCAGACACACATTGTTGGTTTTTTTTTTCAAGTGACTTATAAATTATAATCATACGTGGAGGTAACGATGAAAATTAGAAAACCACAAGCACGAGAAATATTTTAAAAACTAAGAGGAAAAAAAGGTACATCGGAATCCTAATTTCCAGAAAGTTGCGCTTTATTCCTTTTTCTAATTCAAAAAGTGAACCCCTCCTTTCGCTCTTATTGAGTTTCTTACTGACCCATGTATGAAAGTAGACTCGTAATGATGATGTCACAACCGAATGAGCTGATTTCAGACATGGACTTCATCGAAGCTCTGACCGAAGGCCTCGACCGGGTACTTCTTGTACGCGGAACCGGCGCCGAAGTCGTCACAATCTACTCATAACTCATTTCAAAGCCCTAGGGTACTCAATCTTAACTTTCTAAAAATCCTCTATTCTACAGTCCACGAGAAGTCCAAAACGGGTAGCCGTGCCAAACCGGTCTTGTGCCAAAATTTAAAAATAAATGGGAGCACAAGGAAAATTTTTCTTTTTTCAAAAGTGCCGACCGTTACTTGTGTACAAATATATCACCTTGCGAAACATCGAAAAAAAACACTTCGCCGAAAAACTTTCGCCGCACCCTCCACCATTGTTGCCTTCCTATACCATTTGAACTTTCTCAACTTTTCTTGAACTTATAACTTCCCAAAAAATTCTTCCGACTATTTTTTCATATCTTTTTGGATAGACTTTTCAAAAAGCCGTGGGTACCGTAACCCAAGTGCCTACGAATCATTAACAACACCGCTCAAACGGCGTTCATTTGCTAGTATTTTTTGTGAATTTCCGCTTTTTCTGATAAAACTAGGCTCCCTATAAATGTACAGAAACTGTCGCTAGAAAAATCTCCAATTTTTCAGTTTTTTTTTTCCTTTGAACACCTCAATATCATTTACTTTGTTTCAATTTCCATGACAGCATGGTAAAAAAAAACTTTAGAAAATAAAACATTTTTTCTCAATTCGCGTCTTGCAATGAAAAGAGCAGTTACAGCGTATTATATACAGAAACTAGTTCCGATTTCAACAATTTTAACAGAAATTAACAGGTAAAAAGTAATTGATAAAATCTCACGACCGTTCAGACGATGTCCGGCGCAACTGCGTCATCGAAAATGTCCCCCGAAACTTTTTTCGTGTATTTCTTCTCAACGGCTCCTGAAAAGCTGATGTTCAAAAAAAAAAAACTAACGAGGTGATTCAGTGGTAATGTTCAAGAATAAAGTCACAGAACCTGAATTTCTAGTGCGAAGCCTCATTTTCTAAAAACTTTTGAGTCAATAAATTAGTTTCTTCAATTTTTTTGCTTATTTTTTTTCTAGGCCATTTCTTTTCATAAAAAAATAGTCGAAATAGAAAAATCAGAGAAAAATACGTTTTAATTGTCCTTTTTTTCGGAAAAAGGTATGAACCTTTTCATTTCAGGATCGCTTTTGGTTTTTTTCAGCTTTAAATTTTTCTTCATTTTACTTTTTTTACTTGTTCATTCGTTGAAAAAAACTCTCCACAGATCGGTGGCTATTCAGTATTTTTTCTCATTTTTTGTGATAAAAATTTCAAAATTAATATAACTTTAAGCTTTCTCATCGACTGCCGAGTCTATAGAAAAAAGAAATTTTCGAGCTATCAATAAAAAAATGAAAATAAGATAGACCCACCGAAAGAATAACGATCCTTGGCCGAAAACTTAGCTCCAAAGCGAGAACTGAAAAACATGAAAATATAAGAAAAGAAGATTAGTTATAAGGAATTTAATAATAATTATTGTTATTTAACTTTTTGCGTACTCAGATAATCAAAAAAATTTGAAACCTTTTTGAAAGCCAAGAATCTAGAGAAAAAAAAAGCAAAAAAGTTTTTTTCAAAGTTTCATTTGTCAAATAGATATAAGAATTCTTACAAATCAGGAGAACACGTCATCGGATCAAAAGGAGTGGGAGAATTCCCAGAATTCGCAGTCGGGGAACCATTTTTGTTCACGCTTCGGACGACACCGCGACTCAATGGCGACTGGAAATCAAATGAATCGTATTGATGAAACTTGTAAAAATTATAGAGATTGGAATTATGGAAAGGAAAAAAACTGAAATGTGTTAATCGTTAGTCGCCTTTGGTCATGTAGAAAAAACGTCTCAAAAAAAGTGAAGGATTTTCTCTACAAAATCATCTTTCGGTTGCGTCTTTGAAATTAGGCACGATTCATGATTTAATGAAAGTTCAATTGAATTAAACGAGAAAGAAAATCAAAAACTGAGAATATTGGAGCAATTATAGTCAATCCCTCCCGACTTAAAAGGCAAGGGAGACGGAGAAGAGGGCGGGACGCGTAGCGTGTGCGTACGCGTTTCTTGGCACGAGTTCAATTCAAGTGCCACCGACTATTCAAAAAGCTCAGTCACCGCTCTTTCGCTCTTTTCTATTCCACTATTTTTTGAATGCGAAATAAAGAAAAATCAATAATGAATTAAATAATGAATGGAAAGAGCGATAAAAGAGCTCTCCAAATAGTCGTTGGCGATGTTCTAGTTGGTCTCACCATGGCTTTGTGGACGCCGAATTCCGAGAAGGCTGAATGCGGCGTTGTAGAACTTGGAGGCGGATAAATTTGTGAAGCACTTCTGCCAATGTTTTGATATCATCAAATAGAATCTTTTTACAGATGAACAACTAAGAACGGCGTTCCAAAACACGAAATTTCAAAAGAAAGTCTTATATTTTGATGCGAAATTTAAAAGATATTTTAATTTGAAGCAAAAATCAATGAGTTACCGGTTTTTATTTATTTTTCCTAATTTTCCTTTCATGTTTACAAGATAAGATAGCTTTTCTTTAAATCAGTTTCCCAATCGACAAACTTACGGAATAACTTCAACTTTGTAATCAGGTTTCTGGCGTTTTTTATTAATTATTTTCATTTCATACCCCAGTCGCACAAGATTAAACCGATCATGTAGAGGAACCTGGAAATTACAGTTTAAATCATTTAGACTGAAGAAAAACAAACACTGTAATCTTCAGAGAGCGAAAACATGATTTGAGCCGCGTTGCCCATTTTCTGCGCGACTTCTTTGGAGTACTGTGAGTTCTTCTCTTGCCAGGCAGAGTGCCCATCATCATCTTCCTAAAACTCGAATCTTTATGAATCGGACGTCAATATTTCGTACCTTGTGAGGAAGTTTGATCACATTTACCACGACTTCGTCTTTTACAGATGCATGCAAGGATGACATCTGAAAAAATGACTATTATGAAGCAAAAAACTTATGCCGTGTTCAAAGTAATTTCCGCGAAATGCAAAATACCCGTTAGAGAAAGGAAAAGATCACTAAATTTTGGAGAGTCAGAGATCATTTTGCATTTCGCGGAAATTACTTTGAACACGGCATTAGGAAAGTCGAGTCCTGAGTTGATTTTGGCGTTAAGTAAGATGCTTTTGGTGTTCATACACCGCGACTTATTATTTCATACTAAATACTTTTTTTAAATTCTCAAATACATTTTCTATTTTTTCTCTTGTTTTTTTTAACTCGTTTTTTTCTTGTTGTATTTCTCAGTTTGATTAATTCAAAAAAGTCTGCATCAAAAAAATTCAGACTTATATGCGTGCAAATTCAAAAGAAGTAAAGTTATCGAGTTTTTCATAAGAGACGGTTGTTTCGCAAGGCAGCAGGTGTATTTTCTGAAGTTTTCACATGTTTTCCTTTCTTGAAGTGTGCTCTATAATCTCTTCACTGCTGCCTCTTTCATTAACTTCCTTCTAAACTAGTTTTGTCATGACCTTCTTCTTGGAAATTTGAGTGATCAAGTCTAATTGGATGTACTTGGTTTTCTGAAAACAATATCTCTGTATTTCTAGGGGTCGAATGAAGTGGTTCTTCGGAAAATCTGACTTTGTGATGATTGAGACGAATCAAGAGCTCGACACGAGTTATATCCATGTATGGCCACGGACCAAATTGCGTTACCCCGCGGCTCGTTTATCCGGAAGGCGTGGCCTGACAAGAAGACGTGCTCATGCCGTCACCATCATGTACGTCGCCCACATCTCCTTTTTTCTTAGGGCTTGATTCGGAGTAGTAGAACATTTCATCTTACTTCTATTTGAGTGTGTCGTAGTAGTCGGATAATCGAAAGCTTCTGGGAAAGTAACTTTTGAAACTTTCAAGGTTAGGGTCAAGATCAATCCAACCAATGTCTCGGACACATATATACCTTTGGCAATTTAGAAGGTTTTCGAAAAGTTCAGAAATTTCCATTCTCTAACCAAAAAAAAGTTCTATACTACCGCATTACGATCGACCTCCTCAAAATGAAAAAGATTGCTGATTTTATCTTACAAAACTATCCTCGGGATCGGATAATTAAAATTTCGGTGCAAAAAATTGAAATAGCGGCTTTTAGGTATATAATGGATATCTGAGTTTGATTTAATTTATTTTTCACCAAGATTTCTTAACTTCAAAAAATTGGAAAACATTTGATTGAACTAAAGAAAGTTTTTTTTTCGATATACTCCGTTGGGATTTTTGAAATAGCGTAAAAATATTTCATCAAGGTCTTGAGGCAAAAAGCTGTTTTTTTGTGTTTTTAGTTCATTAAAAGACTTACATTACTTCAAACGCATCGAAAAAGTTTTATAATTGGACTAAACCGTTTAGTTAGTCTAAACGGTATTGAATAATCGTCAAGACTCAATCAGAAACTTCATCTCATTTATAGCTGATAAAGATTATTTTCAAGACAAATAAGTTGTCTACAAAATTTTAATACTTCTCTTCTGTGAGCCTTCTCATTATTCGCGTTAACAACTTCCCGTGACTCTTACTAGTTAATTTACTTTTTGCTCTAAATGACCAATAGGAACAATTATAAGCAGCTACTCAACCACTCAATGAACTGGAAAACGCCGCTATAGTTTGCCCTTTTCAAAGAGTTACTCTTCCTGGTTTTTTGAAACTAAAAAAGAGAAAAACTTATTTTGTTGTTTGCTGGTAACGAAATTTCGATTTGCTTGCTTCACATCCACCGAAATCAGAAATGCACATTCGAGTTATGAAAAACATCCTGTTTTTTTTTTTCCTTGAACCTTTCTATTTCCTTCGCCGGGTCAAAAAATTTCGATTTTCTTTTTTTGATGATTTTCAAGGGGCAAGTGGAAAATAAGGTTTACATTCGATCCACCGTTACCTTGAGACAGACTGAAATTTCGAAGAGTCGTCATTTTTGTTCTCTGTTTTGCTAACCATGTAAAGAACCTCTTTAAATATTCTCTCAAGGCAGAGGCGAATGAACTAATTGAATGATGTTGCTTTTCCAAGTACAAATCTTTGTGCAAGTTTTAGTAGACCTTTTAAATCGGAATGAAACTTTCTGTAAAATGATACTTTCTCTAGAAAATAATTTTTATGGAGAACTTTTCTTCAAGTCAAGTTTATACATGAGTCTATGAGTTATTTTAAAAGTTTTCATTCAATTTCCACTTTTGCGGATTTGTTATTTATCTATTAACACAAAAGCGAGACAGCACGGTAGCAGGAGAGACGTTAGAAATTAGAAAAACATGCGTCTCTTCAGCTCCTACACTCACTCTGTTGCAGAACCTGTTTTTCTCTATACTAAAGTAACTTGTTTCTGCTCAATCTCCATTCGCAACTTTAATATTAATCAATTGACACAGTTTCCTCAAAACTTGGAATTTCTGAGAAGCTAGAGAGCAGAAGAAATTAGCTGGATGAGGCCGACATTCGAGAAGGGAGTTCTTCTCGATTTCGACCTTCGAAGTGACTCGCACGATTGCATTACCTTTGCTTGAGGAGCGCATTTTGCCCTTCAATTCGCTTTTGACTTGGTTGCTTTTTCAGCATTTTCCTTTTTACTCGTTCTCCATTGTCAGGATTGCCTAATTCCCGATTCAAAAACTTCATTTCTGAACTGCTCGGCTTTTTCAGCTTCATTCAATCTATTTGTGGACTTTTCAGAGCTGTTTTAGTCAGGGGTAAACAATTTTACGTTGAGTCATCATAGCTAGTGGTGGATCTTATAGAATCAAAATTTTTGAAATTAATCTGAAACCCTCCCACTGGTGAATTTCCAATTTGAAACCTAATCGATACGTGATTTCATTTTCTACAAATAGGAATAAAAACTCAAAGTTTCAGTTTTTTGATTATTATGGAAGTTTATTATTGTCAAAGTTCTGTTTACTTTTGAAAAAGCAGGCTTTTCGCTGTAAAACCCTTTTTAGGCTTACAAATTCTTCTCTGTATTTAGTGTTATTATTATCAAAAGTCTGTATGACTATTTTTTGAGCTTATTTTTTGGTTTTTCTAGTATTCCCCTCAATTCCAAAAATACTTTTAGATCTAGCTAAATCATCTTTTTTTTTCTCTTTTTTTCTGATGAGGGCAGCAAATTTTTGCTCTTTAATCGGAAATGAGCTGCCTTTGAGCTGAGGCTAGACAATCGAAAATTTTTTTCCGAGTAACTCTGTTCCTCATGCCTCGGCTTCACTTCAGGAATGCACAAAAATTAATTTTTCTGTTCCCACCCCCGACCGTTTTCCAATTTCCTTTCGAGCGGCTTCACTCATTTCTGCTCCAATCTCGCGCGCCTTTCTAGATTCATTTTCTAGTAGAGTTTCAAAAAAAACCTTCTCCGGTGAGTTTTTTTTCTGTGAATTTCAAATTAATATGCGCGGATTCTGAGTTTGTAATCTCTGCGCTCGAGTTCTGTGTGCAAATATTCATAAGTTTTCTCGCCCACGACAAATTGCAAGCTTATTCCTCAGATTCTGGCCACAAAGGATGACGTCAACCCCTTCGGCGCTCGTCGCCCTCGTCGAAAATGCGACGTCTCCGCCGATGACGTCCAGCGAGGAGGAGAACATGTCAAGAGCCACCCTCAAATTGACCCTCGCCATTTCTTATCTCGTCCTTTTCATTGTCGGAACCGTTGGAAATGGGTAAGAACTCAAAAAATTGATCTTTTCATACTTTTTTCTCTACTTGGAAATCTGGCCGTATATGAAGTGGCTCAATGCGTTGTGGTTGCGGTGCGGTTTGAGTTACCAGTCCGAAGCTCAAAATTGACTTTGAACCGATCCTTAGAGTTTCAATATCGACGAAAGTTCTTTTTTGTTCTTTTTTGGTCTGGCGCAGTTCCCCAAAAAAAAAAAATCTTCGAAGCGTTTAGTCATTCTCTATGCGACCAGTTCTTTTTGTTTTGGGATTTTAATACGAAAAAGAAGTTTTTTAGAATCGTGATCGTTATGATTTTGAACGTGTTGACGTCGATGAGAAGGAGTTCAATGGGAAAGCGAAAAGTTCTCTCAAACACGAGTCACGTCTTCATTTACGTTCTTGGTTTGGGCTTTCAATATTTTTACGAGTTGAGAAGCCTTTTTTAACGTGGAAAGACTTGCAATTTAGATTCGAAGACGGAAAATCCACTTAAACTATAGATATTTCCATTAGATGTTGAAAAAAAAAAATCTCTGAAAAGCCATATTTTGTCTGACCGATTCTTTTTTTCACTTGGGTTCTGTTGAAGAGTTTTCCGTATTCAAATGAAAATATTTTCTTCTAGGGCTTCACTGTAGTCTTTCTTCCAATATAGTGATATATAGACTAAAACTTTGAAAGTTCGCAATGCTTCATTGAATAACTAAAATATGACGTTACAGGGCTGTCAATAGTCGACCTGCTTGTCCTTCTTCACCTTCCTTTTCTGGTTGTTGACCTTTTAAAAGGTAGGAATCCAATGATTCCATTTAAAGTCAGGGATGATTTCAGGAGAATGGCTTTTTGGTACAACAATGTGCAAAGTTTACTGGTTTGGGGAAAGTGTCAACAAGCTTTTGAGCTCATTTCTGATGACTGTTCTCAGTTGGGATCGTTACCTGGCTGTCTGTAGTCCGGTCAAGTCTATTCGGTCAGTTAAAAGGAATCTTATTTGGAAATCCCAGTTTAATTTTCTTTTTCAAATAACTTTTACAAAATGTAGATGAGCTGTATACAGGAAAAAAAAATACAGGCCGGTCAAGTTAGAATGATAGTTTGAAGGTGTTGTTAGATACTTTAGATCTCCAGAATGGTACTTATAGGGGCAGTTTTAGGGGCAATTGAAGGTTTCCCTCTAAGAAAGTTTACAAACTTTTCATTTAAATTTTCAAATCGGAACGAAATTGAAAAATATCCCTAGAGGGACCAGTTAAGTTTTACCCCTACAGGGTTACTTTTGAATCCCCCATATGGGCTGTTCTTACCCCTAACCCCTATAGGGACCACACTAGCGTTCCTGAGTAATACGAAGTTTACGGCTCATGTCTCTTCAATCTCTAGAAGGTCAATCTTAGAATGAGAAGCAATCGAATGGCGGGAAAGGTTTTGTTGGCCTGCACACTACTTGCCACAGTTCTACTGCTGCCAGTTTTAATCGAAGCGAGGGTCTTTAAAATCGACAAAATCCGAATGATTCCACTGATGGAAGACTCTCCAGAGCTGCAAGAGTCAGGTTCGTCCTCGAAATTTGTATAAAAATGCCCGTCTTCCTGTTTAAGACTATCTTAACTGATATTCCAGTTTACATTAATTTTTTTAAAAAAAGTGTACTAATTTTTTTAAATTCACACTTTTTGAGCAGAAAAAAATGTATAAAAATAATTTTATCTAGGTTTTTTTCTTTCAAAAACAGGTATAGCAAAAGCTGTTCAGTCAAAACTCAACTATCAAATATACATTCTCCCTGACTTTCCGGTTTCAGACCGCTTGGGCTCGACCATGTCCAAGTGCATGTTTGACGCAGACACCACGTTCACTCTCTACACTTTCCTGATTGGATTCGCACTTCCGGCCTTTTTCATAACGATGTTTTACACGCGGGTTCGTGTCTATTTTTGTCTTGCCACGAAAAAATTTGGCAGAACAAGTTTGAAAAAGTTATAAAATTCTTCGGAAGTCAGTATATTAGGTGCTATTACT